AAGTTCATTACTTCAACTCTATGAAGAAAGTTTGTATACAGACAGTTTACTGGTACACTGGAGTGGGAAAGTTCGGTGTTGATTACCGTACCCTAACCACAACACTGTCTCTCTACTCTATTTTACTTACTGCTTATGTTGTCCTAGGGGAATAGTCTGGTTTCTCAAATGCAGTGCTTGCCACTGTGTGCCCTTCTAGGCAAGCCTCTTGCTCTTGGTTGCCATAGCTGTTTGGATTGTAGTTACCCTAAGATTCCAGATAGGACCATCTAGATCTTCATATGTAAGTTTGCGTAGGTGTTACAGGGGCCCATGGACATCAGACGAAGTTGTTACTGCACCTGGAGGTCCACTCACTTCTTAGAGCGCAGGAGGCATTCAAGTCTCCTCAGGGACACGCAGATTCTCTGCTTCTACATCAAAGCTTACTGTCCCCCCAACCTCACAAAGGCCCAGAAGCTCATGAAGGCCTTCTCAGATTACTGCTAATGCCTGGCCTGATTCAGCAGCGGCTGTTGCTGATGAACAACCTGATGCCCCTCCTCCCCAAAGAGAAGTTGGGAATGCCTCTTCTGTAGCACTTTCCACCTTTGTAGACTCAGGGAGCATAAAGTAGAGTCAGAAATGAATGCAAGGCTCCTGTTTGGGGATTCAGTGCACAGCTTAAAAACTATTGAGTTTAGCCATTTCCTGACATTGACTTTCATAGCAACAGTTTAATTTGGAGAAAATCTGCTACCTCAAATGACTAAAAGTATTTATGTGGAAAATTTTCCAAATGATTGGCTTTACTGTGTTGCTATTTTCTTTCCCCATGAATATGTGAGTGTTTGGCTTCCTCCCAAGAGTTCTTTTCTGCATCACTTCTCTTCAGGAAAAGACAATTTTCTACCCAGAGTTAAAGCAGCTCCAGGAGTCTTCCTCGTTTAAGCAGAGTGTTGTTTGAGTTTAAGCCAGAATATCTGCAAAATGTTAGAATGGCCGTGTTGGTGGTGCCCTTGACTTTTCTTAAAAGTTAAGGTCGTCTGAATATCCTTTAGTGCATTCCCTGTGGAGGGGCCAGCTTGGGCTCTCTGCAGCCCTGCCCTGTGCCTGGCTCCCACCTGCAGCAGTCTTACTAAATGGGTTCTCCACTGTCCCTCCTTCTTCCTTACCCCTCTAAGTCTTCAGCTACCTTGCCAATGTCAGCCCTCGCCAACATCAACAATGACTCCCCATAAATAACTTTGGATTATAATCAACCTTTCTGTAGCCCTTGACATGTTAGATCTCATTTTCCTGACTTCCTTGGGACCATTTATCCTCCTATTTCCTTAAATACTTTCCTCTTTCTTTGTTCCTTTCTTATGTGTTGTTTTCCTATTTTGCTTTAGACCCTCACTCATATCCTGGAAGGCAGCCATCTTTCCCTTGACTCTAGTTCCAATCTGCTCATCAGGTTTCCCCATCTTTGTCTAGTCCAGGCCCAAGAACCAGTTTTGTGTCAGTCTAAAGATTGTTCCCTGTTTCTCTTTTAAGTTTCCAGTCTCAGGGCTGGACACTGTAGTGTTGTGGATATAAGCATGGTTTTGTTTTGGTCCCAGGTGTGGGATGTGGGACAGATGGTCCACAGCAGCAGACTTTTTGCGTCATGTGGGCTCTGAGACGAGCTCTTTACCAGCTTCAGATAGTTTAAATCTGAGGACTCTGGAGAGAAAATAAATTCCAGAGCCCAGAGAGTGGGGATTAGAGAAAGAACAAGGCTGCTTCTTCTTCCCCCTTTGCTCCTGGTTTCTGTTGTGCTGCAGGAAGTTGGAGATCTTCTGAAACAAGGATTGGACTGGCTCCAAGGAACCCTACTACCCCAACCAGCAGGAAGTAGCTAAGAGAAATGTGACCCCTCTCCCACTAACCCTTTCTTTCTTTTACCCCTAGTGTTTAGATGTTGGAAGGGATTGCGGTGGAGTAGGGAGAAAAGCTAAAAGAAGTGTAAATAAAAGTTCTTTAAAAGTACACCAACACTCTAGTTTGCTGTGAAACTAATTTCTTCCTATCTCTGTCACTTTTCCTGCACCTATAAAACAAGCCAAGTGTTTTCTATTTGTTCTATTTCTTCCATGTCTTGATATTCACATCTTCTCTGACCTTCTGCTAGTATGTCTTTCTACCATAGGATGAGAAACTGCCAACTCTGATCTAGATTGCTCTATCTTATCATCATTCATACTCCTGTTCTCTGACCAATCAACCCCAGTTCTCTTACCAAAATCTCTTCTCTCTCCCGCTTACAAAGCCCCACAGTATGATTATCTTTTCCCCTCAGCCTGAGGTCATGTCACCCTTCACTCCACCATATTCATATTTACTGGATTTCTTTTCAGACCCTCAAACCTACCATGGTATCTCATCTCCTGACTTTCATACGATCCTTTCTTCTCCCTAGTCCACTGTTTCTGTTTTCTTTACCTCTTTTGAGTCTTAGGCACAGAATGCTTCTCAGACATGCTACCAAGTCTGGCAAAGGTACCTTTCCCAAAGGCTTTTTTGCCTCATTGTCTCATCAAAGCACTTCTCAAGGTCCATCTCATAGCTGCCCCATCTTGAAAGGTCTTCTCTCTGCTGTGCAAAGACATGAAGATACTACTCCTGTTGACTGGGCACTGCACATGCCTAATACAATATTTGATTCATGATGGCACTGAGCTCAGTAAATATCTATTAAACAAAAAGTGGGCCTCACAATGAACTGTGAGCCAGCCTTCTTCATGAGACAGACCGAAATAAATGCCATAGTCCCATTTGCAGTTTCTTGCCCACCAGTCAAGCTCCCTTGGCAAGAATGACTATTATTTTCCCACAAAGCAGACAAAAACTTTGTTGCAGACAAAGCAACCTATATCTCCCACAGGAAGAAAAACTTTCCAAGGTTCTGAGAATTAGCATATGGTAATTGGCAGGTCCCAGGGTATCTTTTAATTGAACCTTCACAGACGTCCACTTAGCTTATACTCAGTGCTCAAATTGAGTAGAACCTCATTAGGGAGGTTGTGTCATGCCATGCCTTAGTGAAAATGGAGAGAATGGGAAACACAGCTCCCCACATGGAGGACGTGGGAAGCATGCTGATCTGGCCCTTGAATCCACGTGTTGTGTTGGTGCCAACTCTTGACACTGAAGAGCATGACAGTATGGCCATGACCTTCAAAAAAGCCTAGGATTGCCCTTCGCAGAGCCCGTTGTAACTTTTCTATTTCACACGCTTTCCTTCTGTCCTCTCCCCTAGTGTCTCCTTTATGGCCAGTTCATGAGCAAGCAGAGTTTCAAGAACGTGCCTCCCAGAAGCACACCTGAGGAAATGATATGACTGCCAGGCTCAGCCCAACACAGCTATCCTGCACCTCTCTGACACCGTTTACTTCCTCGGTTCTCTGCTCTCTGTGACTAGGATAAGATAGGAAAGGTGGCCACTCTCAGGGGCCGCCCTTACTGTCTCCTCTCTGCTCCTATCACGCCTTGCTTCTCCAAACCCTCATCCTCAGGACCCAGCTCAAGTGTCCCTTCTCTGTGAAGCTTTTCTGACGATGTGAACAGTGCCTCAACAATCCACGAAGAGCCCGCCTCACTATTCTCCAACTCCAGGGGACCATATCTGACCTCCCTGCAAAGTCAGAAAACCTTGTTTGGTTCTTAGGCATGTCTTGTCTCTGTGTTAAGTTATAAACTTAGGGAGACTCTTTTTCTCAGCATGCCCACAGGGTCCAGCACAGTAGGTGTTTAGGGGCAATTGCTATAGGAGGAGATAATCTAGGGAGGAGGATAGCACAGAGGTTAATTGCAGGGGGTGGGAGGGTGGAGGCGAAGCTTGGGTGCTGAGAACAGTCGGTCTGGGTTATACTTCTGCTGTGCTACTTAATGAGCATGAGACTTTGGACAAATTACACCATTTGTCTGTGCCTCCGTTTCTGTATCCGTGAAAGACAAAATTATATATACCAAATTATACCCGACCTATGATTGTTGTGAAGTCTATAAAAGTAATCGTAAAGCACTTAGTACAAGACCTTTGCCTCCTGAGCACTCAGAAAATATCAGACTCTCCAGCATGCAAGGGCTAGCAAAGCTGCCGCCATAGAAAGTACTGTTGTGTATACCAAGGGCGAAGGGCGTTTGTGACTAATATGACAAAGATAGCTAAATCTAAGCTGTCGCCAATAGAGGACCAGCATGGCCTAATCCTCCTGAGAACTCAGGTGCCTGCTTTTTTGAAATGGTGAATCTCATCTCTCCAAGTCAATAGAATCGTTTTGACAAGAAGGCAGCAAGGCTACTCAATACTCACATACAGGCAGCAGAGAGGGCTAGGTGAGCTCACACTATTGAGCTATGTTCTCATGTGTCCTGTTTTAATGTCTGATGATTTGGAAGGAAATGGAAAAACTAATGCTGAATGGAAAAAGTCATGTTTTTGCTGCCATCTACAGATGTCAGAGTGCAATTTTCAAAGCTTCTTAACATGCCCAGCAGCCCAATTCACTGAGTGACACTACATATGAAGCACAGTTTAAGTTCTAGTAACCTAAATAATTTAAGCACATTATTGCAGGAATTTTTTTTACCCTGCTTTCTAAAACTGTGCACATCTAGTCAGGAATTCAATCTTTATAATTCCTCAGGTTGTGTTCAAACTTGTATCAGAAGGCTGTGTCATAACTCAGGGTTGAGTGACTATTGCTCAGGGCACCTTAGCTGTAAGCTATAGCAGCTAGCCGACAGGGTCAGAGTTTAAAATGGTGGCAGACAAGAGCAGGCTCCGCTGGATTTCACTCCAGGCTTTCCAGGATCTCTGTGGTTACTAGAATTACTGTAAATGGTCTCTCATTGTTTGGACGTGAGAAATCAAAACAAGTAAAATCAAACCGTGGGAATAATGTCCCTTCTGCAATGGCTCCTTTGCGATCTTATCTGTATACTGGGTGAGTTAATTATGGCCCTCCAACCTGTCCTGTGCCTCTTTTCAAAAGGGTTAAATATAGACAAGAATTATTGGAGAAGCGTTTGCTGGAGAGAAAAAAACTGGCCCTTCAAGAAGTTCAGGAAGAAGAAGAGAGAGAGAGGCGCCTGGAAACCCTTCGAAAGCAGGTGTTTTCACTTTGGAAATTTTCAGTTCTTTTTAAGTTGCTAAGTGTGCTAATGATATTATTACTGGGACTCGGTTCATGACATCTGTTACACAAAAATGTAACTTTCCCAAACTAGTACATGGTCTTCATTCCCAGGAGCCAGTTAGGTTTATGTTGAACCAGATCCAGGTTCTTAACAGATTTAAAGAAGTTGATCAGCAGCATTTCAAAAGCTCTCCCAAGATCTGAATGTATCTGTATCTCCTCTAGTTCACTTCCCAGACAGTATCTTTTTGCAGCAGTGAAACTCTGTTTCCAGTCAAAGGACTTCACTGTCCTCAAAAACATGTGGCAGAGCAAGATAATCCACTCTCCAGTGGGAACCTTTGCTTGGAAAAATCCCATAGCCAACAAGCCGGTTGGCTTACAAACACCCCCTTTGTGCTGAATTAAAGGCTCCCGTTGCCTTGTCTAATAAAAGTAGGCAAAAGTAGATGGCAGTGGACAGTACACAGCAAACACAGGGATTTAGGAGATAGGGAAATAGGAGATAGTTTCTCTGGTAATTTTTCTGAACTTTGACCCCAGAGTGATTTGCTGAACTGATAACTCTACAACCTAACCGGTGGGAATCGGCTGCGTAGAGAGGGTAGAGGCTGCACAAAGCCACCAGTGACACTTGACCTTGAATGCCCTTCAGTACCAGAACCGCTGGTTAAGTAGTCAATAGCAGAGAAAGCCTGAGTCATTATTGCACCTGCCTTGGCTCCATTCCCTTCTTCATCTGGAAAATGGGCGTAACAGTGATAGTGTCTGCCCCCCGGGGGTTTGTGGTAATTGGAGTTCAAATCTGTGAGTGCTTACTAACTGCAAAGCCTTATTCCAGTGAAATTTGCCTTAACCTCCCCAGTATCCCTATGAGGTAAGTATTATTAACGCCCCCATGTTGAAAAAGAGGAAACCAAGAGGTTGGGTGCCTTTTCCAAAATAGCGTAGGGTATCAAATGGGACTCCTATGAGACAGATCTCACACCTCTTTAAAAAAATAGGCTGTAGACATGAATTCAGAACATGAGAATATAAATTCTGTTCCTATATCTGAAAAATCAAAGTTACTCAGTCATTAGCAAATAATTACATACTATTTCTGGAGACAGACTTAATGTTAAAATTACTGAATATATTTTTGTTGCAAATATAACTTTGGTAACTACAGAGTCCACGTGACTAGAATTCCTTCCATCCAGCAGTCCTTTGAAAGAAGTTTTCTGCTCCCTTCACCTGCAATCAGAGTTTAGATTAAAAAAAAAAAAAAACTATAATAATTAAATTATGTTTGATTCCAGTCATCTTATTTTGAAATGGCATTAAAATACCATTTACTTCATACAAATTCTTGACTTGTGGAATTAACAGGTAGGCATTGGTGATGGTACCTGTGATTGACGAAGTCAATGGCTTCTTTTTCATTAAGATTTGGGTCAGAACTGTCGTTATTATGTAAGACAAAAACTGTTAAAATTACTCTCTGGTTTTGTAGTAGAGAGGCACTCCTCTGTCTTTAACAGACCCAAGGAATCTACTTGCCTAGGATAATTGCTGTCCACCCAGCTTTTCCAGTAATGGCCGCACAGTTGACTTTTCCAGACAGCCTTGTGGCATTGTCACTTACAACCATAGATTGATAGCTGCTAAAATACGAATTTTTTTAAAGCTTTTTCTCATTTCAAGGTGGTTTTTATGGCTTTTCTAAGTAAGAGTCCCTTTGACTTTTATCAGATAAGCTTGTGTCTGAAATAAATTATAACTATTTAATCATTAGCAAATGTTTATGATCTTCAAATATTTTGTTTGACTTGTGTTTTAATTCCTTTGTAAGTCTCTGGGACTGGCCTGGATTCAACGTCCCATTGCTCTTTCCTCTACAATTTTATACTTAATAAAATTTCTTTAATAGTCACTAAACAAACCTGTAATCTTCCCCAGAAACCCTTAGCTTGTACCCTCTTCTGAGTGGTTAGGCTTTCTCTTCTTTCAGGTTGCTGTTGTTGTTCAGTCTGATCCAGTTAGGATGATGTCAGACACACTGGCCTGGAGAGCCAGGACAGACGCTGAAAGTGAAGATGAATTCATTCTTCAAAAGCCACTCTTCTCACTGACTACATACAATGAGCAGCAGGTAATTCTGGGAATTAGCAGTATTGGTGCAAAATCCACTCCGAGAACAGAAAGAACTGCTGAAGTGTGTGCTTTGAGTTACAAATTATTTTCAATATTTACATGTAAATACCCTATATTAGCATTTTTGCTTCTAAATGCTAATACTAATACATAATTACTGCATGAATCTAACTATTATAAAATTGTAACATTAAACAGTTTAAAATAATGTCTATCACTGAAAATGGTATAATATTTTTTTCAAAAGTCACTTATATGAAAAGGGTCATTAGTATGCATTCAAGTTCAAAGATTTCTGTGTTGTATTAAGAGTTTATATCTAAATTCAAGGCATAAATTCCTTTAAATGAGCAACTAATGACACTGACAGGCAGTGGTGACGGCAGCTCTCACAAGGTATGTTTTTAGAGCTAGGTATAAAACATTTTCTGTGGAAACAGCATTGAGGGATTGTAGAGCTTAGAATTTGGGTTGTTCTTCCCCTGCTGTGGGAGCAGCCTTACCAGGCCACAGAGGAAGACAATGCACCCAGTCCTGATGAGACCTGATAAGCTAGCAGGGAAGCAGAGGAGAACCTCCCCGTCAGTGGACTTGGGGAGGGGCATGGGAGGAGGTGAGGGAGGGAGGGAGGGATTGGAAGCGGATGGGAGTGGGGGCTACAGCTGGAATACAAAGTGAATAAACTGTAATTAATATAAAAATAAATAAATTTAAAAAAGAATTTGTGTTGTGGCTAGAACTGAGAAGGGAGATTTAAAAGAATTTTTAGCGGGAGAAGGGTAGGAAAGAAGACTTGTGAATGAATGGATATAACCAAGAGAGAAAGCAGTCATGAATTTTACAGAAGTGGGGAGAAAAAGCCAAAATCTCAGGAAACCTGCTGCCAAATGAGTCCATAGTGCCTCTCTCGTGAGCTGCATACTTGATAGCGAATAGGAAGGCGGAAATTTCATTCATTAGTACTCAAACACATATTTGTGAAATTGATGCTACGTTCTGGTTCTGTATGAGAATGTAGCTGTTGGCTCCACCCTAAGTAGACCAGACTGATCCTTCCTGGAGGAAGTGACTGTCTAGGTCAAGAAGGAAAGTATTATATTCAGAAGTAACGCACAAGGGTGAGGCCAGCTCTGTGCAGGATGTGGGGAGAGAAGGGTGAAGTCTGCCTGGGAGGTTAGACAGATGAAGCTTCTGAGCGTGAGCTGAGTTAAGATTTGGGGCAGCTGCTGCTAAATTTACTCAAGAAAGTTTACAGTTTAAAGGGGGAAGAGGTTGATGTGCACAGGGAGAAGAATTACTTATAAGAACGGGTGGCCATATCTCCAAAACTGGCTGCCCAAGTGGGAAGGCAAGTGGACCGTACACAGACTGAATTTGGAGGAAGGAAAAGCCCTCAGGACTATCAGGGTTTCCCCAGGCAGAAGAGATGGAGAGGAGGCCCTTTCCTTGAATGTCTTCACTGTGAGACAGGGCAGGGGCACAGGGTAAGTGCTGAAACATGAGAGTGGCAACCTGGACGAGGGCCCAACTGTGATACACAATAAGCCTTTTTACTCAGACATCTGACCTTTATCCTGTGAACAGACACGGTATTTTAAGACAGGTAAGTTAAATAATGACATTTGTATTTTATCCCTGTATCATTTTGAATGGAAAATTGATGGGTGTTGGGGTAGAGGAGGGAAGCAGTAGTGAAAGAGTCGTGAACAGCTCTGACTGGAGAGAGGGAGGGCTAAAGAAAGTGAGGAGGACTCCAAGCCAGACAACTACCACCCGTGAAGAGCCCACAGTGCACATTGTGGATTCAAATCCACACCCGCGATTTATTGGTTGTGCGCACTCTCCTAAGCTACTAACATCTTTATGTTTGCTTTCTTTCTCTGTAAAATAATTACTTGCAAAGTTCTTGCGAGGATTAGAAACAATAAATACAAACTGCCTAGATTACTGCCCGGTATTTGGCAGTAATTCAACAGATTATTGCCTTTTTGTGGCTCGGCCACTAACCTTATAAGAATACAGAAGGAAAAACAAGCTCAGGGAAGAGAATTTGTTTTGTTCATGTCATGTTTAGGGTGAAGGGGTCCGAAGCATGTTTCAAGAAATGGATTACCAGCCTCTGGGGGAGGCGAAACCTCTCCTCTTCATTTACTTTTTACTCAAAAATTCAATAAAGAAAAAAATAGATAAAGCTCCATAGCTCGAAGAAAAAGGTAAATCCTGGAGAGAATTTGGGAGCAAATGGCACACGGGTAACAGGGACAGCAGGACTCCTAGAAAGTGGGTGAGAATAAATGGGGTCAGAAGAGAATCCTGGGTCCTAGGCTCAGATGTTTCTCAGACAAGGACCGTTAGGTTGTCCCTGCCTTGCGCGCATCCCCACCCCAGCCCTGCTTCTGATTGGCTGCCACTGAGTCTTCCTTTTGGAGTGCATCCGACACGTGGTTCTTCTCTACTTCCAGACAAGCTTAGGTATTTATTACTTCATGTCTAGACAGTCACGGTCTCCTCCTGTCCACCCATTCCCTCCATCTCTCTTTTCTGACCACCTTCATTTATCCGGACTTCATGATCAGATCCATCTTCACACTTTCATACCAAAAGCAGAAACAAACAGCCTGGTACTAGCTAGCACAATCTTCAAGGCTTCGCCATCCAGTCGCCAGCCAGTCAGAGTGTCCTTTCTTCACAGAGCTCCTGGTGGCACACAGTGTTCTGCCCAAATTCACCTAATCCCAAAACTGACTCACTTCATCACAACATTTGTATGTAAGGCCTCCCTGTCTGATTACATCTCTCCTCCTCCCTCTCTTAGGCTTATGGAAAACTAAGTCAGACTTCAAGGCTGCCCAGTTGTTTCTTATCGCATCCTTATTTCAGAACCCCACACACCTCCATGTTTTACCACAAGAGGCACAGCCATGAGTTAGTTATTTTTGTACCTCTTAATACTACCATTCATTCAGGAACTCACTGAGGAGCCATTTCCAAAAGCTCATAACTGTATCTCGGGGTGTGTGTGTGATGTACTTCAGATTCAAGTAAAATGTCTCATTGGGAATAAATCCATAGGTAGTCACCTTTTGTCAGCACAAAAGGTGTGTTGACATTTAAGAGTCATAGGAAGGTGCCTTAGGTCCAATTAAGTGTAAATGAGAACAGAAGCGGAGCTATTTGTGTGTCTACTTCTACTTAGCATGGGCGAGGTGGGGCATTTCCCAGTTCTGTTTGAGACAGAAATCCACCCTTCGATTCTCTTTTCCAAGGAGTGACCATGTGTTTACTCATAACTTACACATTACTAAATGATAGCAAAGTTAAGTGGCTTTTAGAAGACAGGGGCGTGGGAGAGATGACTTAGCGGTTAGGAGCACTTGGAGCTCTTGCAAAGGTCCTGGGTTTGGTTCCCAACAGCCACCTAGCAACTCACAACTCTCTGTGTCTCTAGTTCTAGGAGTTAATAATTACCAAGTTCACGAAGACCACGGGACTTTTGTTATGCATGGTATCACTCAATAAGCTGTATTTTAAAGGTTGTTTTCCCCATAAATACCATCACAAGAAGTATAGATTCCATAGCTATCTTCTTTCTGCTTGTTATTTTACACTTTGACTTTTGACTATGGAGGATCCATTATCTGCATTATCACCACGTTTTCTAGCTTCTGTAAGCACTTCCCACCCACATGGCACATGAACATTTACATGCATGCAGACACACACTCATACACAAAAACATCATTTTCTTACATTACAGCTTCTTAAAAATATATTCCAAAGGTTGATTTTATTAAAGTAGATTTGCTTATAATGCTTTATCTGTATGATTGTAACCAGCAATAAATAACCAATAATGGGGGAGGGGTAGGAAAGCAGTGTGACAGGGGGAGCCTGTCTGGAGCAAGAGTGAGACTGAGACATGTCCAAATCTTGTCCTGCGTCTGTCAGGAGTAGGACTGCTTCCTCCTTCCCCATACACCTATCCTTTTGACCTCCCCCTCTGCCATCCTTGAGGTAGTCATGTTGCCTGGTGGCCAGGTTTCAGGTTAAACTTCCCCTCTCTTTATAAGGACATGTCTAGCAAGCATGTGCAATTCCTCTTCATGCAAATGAAGTATCCCCAACACCTCCGCTCCAGCCAATGACGTACACTCATCCCCAAAACCCCTACCCACTCCCCAAGCTTTATGGAGTCTTTGTTCACACCCCCCCCCCGATAAAAAGAGAAGTTTCACTGAAAAACATCTCTGGAGAAGGCTGTTCCTATCACACTCAACATTGATCAAGAGTCAGTGTAACCCATATGCCCCTTGATAAGCTTCATTTCTTCCAGTCTAGCCTGGTGCACAGCGGTGCCTGGATACTAAGTAAAGAAGCAGAGCGAGGGCAGCATACTAATAGGCCTGGAAGTAAGGTGTTTTTCTTTAATTCCGGTAAATAATTTTAATATGTTGTAATATATAACATTGAATACATCCTATGTTGAAAATAAGTAATACACTGGAAAGCGATAATGTCAAGAATTGTTTGAACATTTTTAGTAAAACCTCTGCAGCCACAGAACTGACAAGATTTATTGTCATCTAATCATCTATCTACCTTAAAAAATTATGCAACTTGGGGAAATGTGAAACTAAGCGATAAAATTTCCTTCAGTTGAACAACTTATTGTTTACTTAAATTGTATCTTATGTCTACAGATAACTTCTGATCCTAGACTTCGATTTGAGTTAGCGCTTCGAGAAGCTGGACTCCATAAAACACTGTATGCCAAAGAGATGCTACCAAAAATTGGTCCTCACAAGCCTCCAAGGAAGGACACAGAATCAACTGTGTTCAAGAACTAGAGGGCACATGAAACCATTATATGAATATGGATAATGATCATTACCACTTCTAAATGTTTAAAAAGTACCAGATGTAGAAATCATAGCATTTATTAAACAACTTTCCCTTTTTATCTTCAAAGTTTATTCACTATTTGCTTTCTCTTTAAATAACATGTACTATCACCAAATTCACCAAAATTATGAGACTTTGGTATATATGTTGTCATTTGGTAGGCTGTTATTTTGAAATTTTTTTCTAGAAAGAGCAGCTCAAAATAGCCATTTGCAAGAATTGTATATTTCACAGCTACATTCATTTCTGCTTGTTATCTCACTATTTGACTTTTAATTATGGAAATTTCATATTATTAATGCTTACATTGTTTTCTTGGTTATAAGTATAAGAGGAGGTTCAGTCTTTCTCTAAATTTATGAGTCAGTTTGGTACAACATGTTTATTGCAAACCAATTATTTGAACAATCTCAGTTTGCAAATTTGCCTTAAGAAGAAATTAGACATACTGTCTCCATCATGGTAAGATCTGTTTTGTCAGGGAAGACATGACTGTGGTATTTAGAAGAAAAAGTTGACATTTTATGATACTTGAAATGTTATTAAAAGTTCCAAATTACCTATGAAATACCAAGATGATTTTCTTGAAAAGAAGTATTTCAAAGAAAGCTCACCTACAAATTTTTGGCTATCTCTAAAAGGCAGCAAGAGAAAATTTCAGCAAGAAAATGTGTTGTTAAAACTTCCAGTTGCTAATAATAGTAAGGAGGCTAACTCCTTTTATCTCTATTGTCATTTCTTGTATTTTCCGTCTACCTGTAGCCATGGCGTTGTCTCTAGATAGTTATGAGAATGCTCTGAAAGCCACACAAGCCAGGGCTTAGGATGTAGCTCAGTTAGTAGAGTGTTTGCCTAGAATGCCCAGAGCCCTGATTTTGATCCCCAGCATCCTGGATGCAGCGGCACACACCTAGAATTCTAGCCCTTGGGAGATGGTAAGCAGGAGAACCAAGGGTCCAAGGTCACCCATGGCCATACAGTGAGTTTACAACTAGCCTGCAATACAGGAGACCCTATTTTTTAAAAAAAGAGAGAGAGGAAAATATGAAAGAGTAGGGGAAGGGAGATGAAGAGAGAGAGGAGGGAAGAGCAGGAAGAGAAAAAAAAAAGAACACTTCAGAAAACAGTCTCATTGGTACTCTTCATGAGCATGCCCAACATCAATGCAGCCTTTCAGAATACACTGCCTTCTATATAAGAGGTTCTATAGGGGGAAAGATCTTATCCACATCCCACAATTCACCCTAATGCTTTTCTACTTCATCTTGTTACATCATATCTTATCAAAGAGTGGAGAGGTCATTAGGAAGAGGTAGAGAATGGTGGGTATGGATTTATCTTGGGATCTTTCTGCAGGTTAACATTGCTGAGAGAGATATTAAACCCTCTGGGACTTCTCTACCCCAAGAAGTTCCCAAATAATTAAGACAGAGACCACTTGGATTTATAAAAGCTTTAAGGCACAGTAACTGGGCAGGTATCAACCCTCTAAGCTATTTTGCTATTTCTCAGCTACACTTGCTATAATAAAGTTACTTGCCATAATAGTTCCTGCCTGGGCTGCTTCTGTTCTATCAGTCTGTCCTCAGGGCAAACTTTTCTTGGCCCTGTGTTCCTAGTCCATACTGCTCCACTGGAGACTTCCTTCTCTCCAGCTTCCTCTCCTCCTGCTACACCGTCTTCCTCCCTTCTTTCCTTCCTGTGATTTCTCTGAGACCCTAAGCCTGAGAACCTCAGCTCTTCCTTCTTCTCTTCTGCCCCTTCTTTCCTTCTTTCCTTCCTGTGATTTCTCTGAGACCCTAAGCCTGAGAACCTCAGCTCTTCCTTCTTCTCTTCTGCCCAGATCCACAGGCTTCAGCATCTTTATTAACCAATCAACTTTAAGTTAGGTAGAGCAAGGTTTATATACCAAAGACCAGTGTATGAGTACACGAGGATGTACTCATCTGGGAGGCAACCAGATCTTGGGTGCCAGTAATTAGCATTAGAATACATAGCACTAGACCAACCCCAACAGGTTAAGGTATTGTTTTATGGGGCTCTGAGCATAAACCCATGAAAATCTGCTGAACCAGAAAGAGTCCTGTGCAAGCAGCATGGTGAGAATGCTGCTGAGCCTGTGGATCCTTACTAGCCTGGGCATCCACCAAAGTCCTGGGACCACATTCAAATGCTACTGAAATATTAACTCCTTTAAACTCTCTTAATAGCTGGTACCACCTTATTAGCACATAGCAGTGCCATTCTGAGGGAAAAGAAAGGAACATGTACTTCCTATGTTGTGGTTGTAAAGAAAACCAAGTTGAGATCTGGGCTGCAGTCTAACCATTGGCTATGCTCAGTCTGGGTTTTCTTAATTTCTTTTTTAATTGCATTAATAGTAGCTATTAATCACTGAGCTCAAACTGAATGCTTAGCATCAGTATGTGCTTCCTATCTGATATTGGATCATCCTCACAGCCTTATGATATGGTGTCATTTTAAAGATCTAGAAATTTGTTCAGAAAGATGAAATAATATACATTTATCAGTTGCCTTCAAACAGAGACACTAAATTAATGTAGTGAGTTCTGACCATTTTTAAGTGAAATGAAAGAAAAGCATCTGAAATCTAAAGATTAATAGATACATGAAAAGATAAAAATGTTTATTCAGCTCCCCAGTGAATGGCCAGCACCCATCTATAATCCCAGCATATGGAATGTGGAGGCAGGAGAGTCACCCTCAGCGATGTAATTAGCACAGGTGAGGGCCAACCTAGGCTACAGAATACAATGTCTTAGCCAAAAGGGCATGAAACAGCTGTGTGATGAAAAATTCTTATAGTAAGAACAATTAGAAGGTAAAAGCAGGAGGATCACAGGTTCAAGGCCAGCCTCAGCTTGATAGCCAGTCTGAGGCCAGCTGGAGTATATCAGACACCGTCTCAAAAAAAGAAAGAAAAAAGGAAGCATCAATTAGTGTGGATTGGAAAGCTCTCCCTTGCCTGAGGGGATGGTTTTACACCCTTTGATCCGGTAACTCTCCTCCTGATGTGTGCTATCGAGGGCTCTCGGGAGCAGGAGCGCTGGTATGTGCAGAGGCAGAAACTGGGGCTCACAAAGGAAAACAAACACTGAATTCCATCAGTAGTAAACTGGACAGACATAAAAATTATGATATTATCTTTTATGGAATTACATATCACAAAGGAAATGGGAGAAATTTATTGATATGGACATGATCTATTCCGAAAGGAGTGAGTGTCATATTTCATTTATCTAAACAACAAAAACCTGCCAAGATAATCTGTATTGCTTTTGAATACATGGGAGGCAAAACAATGAAGAAAAGCAATAAAATGAAATTAAAAAAAAAAAAAAAAAAGGTGATGATTACCTCAGGCGGCCAGGGAGACAGACAGGATCGAAGACCCACAGCTCCTGAAAGTGCTCTATGGCTTAACCAGGGATGTGGCCACAGAATGTTACTGATTGTTCTCAGATGCATGTATGTATCTTATGTACAGTTACAGGCTGAATAAATTCCCTCAAAATAAGAAGGGAATATAAAAAAGCAAATAATTAAAAGCGTAATTTGTTAATGTACATCTGCGTCAACAATAGTCTTTTTGGTAAGTTCTGGTACACCAACCACAATCTGCACATGTGTCTGAGGTAGGAAGAGCATTCCCTTCTTGGGTTCTTGCTTCTCTTGCCATATGATAGAATTCCCTTGATGTTCTTGCTCCCCAGGACCGTGTTGTTTTACACCTTGGTTCTTGCTGGTCTGATTTCCCTGGCTGGCTTGCAGAAGAAAAACACAGTATGTACCTAAAGAACACCAAGCATTATGTTGGTGCATACGTGCACGCATGTATGTGTATGTGTGTGTTGGGTTATAACAATCACAAAACTTTATTTCTTGGTAGTGCCCCAAAATTATCTGAAACTCTACTGAAGAGATGGCAGCAATTAAGAGAATGTGCTGCTCATGCGGGGGACCCTAGTTTGGTTCTCAGCATCCATGCCAGGAAGCTCACAACTACCTGTAAGGCCAGCTCCAAAGGATCTGATGACATCCTCTTCTGGCATCTGTAGGCATCTATACTCAAACACACACACACACACACACACACACACACACACACACACTTTAAAATAAATAAATCTCAAAAAGAAAAATCGCTATCTTCAATCCCATTGTTATAAAATGGTATCCTCTGATTCATCTCTCAGCTTTTGGGAGTGGCAGGCTGCCTCCATTTGGAAGAAGACTGAGTTATCTATCTTGTAGGAAGCCCTCGCTTCCCCACGAACCCTGTCAGGTGCCCCTTTTACTTCCTATTGAGGACAGCACTACTCTTAGGAGTTTCCAGTTTCCATTCTTCTCAGTGCTACAAGAATGTTGTTGTTGTTGTTGTTCATTTCCTTTCTTATATCTTTAAGCCTTCTTTGAAATTACAAATATGTTGGAATAAATTTCAGGGTTTGAATAAATCTGTGTCTACTGCGGGACTTTTGCGGGTCTCACCTGTGGTATAATTAATAAAGACACAGACTTCTACCTAGTTTAAAGCTGTTGGCCTTTTGCTGGGACAGTCTGTCAGCTAGCCACCTAATTTAACCTTGACTTCTCCACCATCATGTTTCCCCACATGATTCTCGCTACCTGACCATCTTATGGGCAGGCAGGTGAGGAAGGAAAAGCATTTACATACAGAAAACCTGTGCTGAGCCATAGAAATGACAATACCACAATTCTGCCAGCACTTGGCTCTGTGCGAGCACAGAATTAACAATTCAAAATACAGGACACACCTTCTCAATGAGAGGAAAGGTCATTCCAGCACCTGTCAATCCCACGTTTGTCCTCTCACTATCCAGTTACTTCTTGCCCCTCACTCAAGGAACATATTTAAAGAGTTGCCTGTAGACACTCAGTGCCTCTCCTGTCTTCCCCTTCATTAATTATGTCTCCCACTGGAGTTCAGAGCAGTTGTGCTGTTGCGGTACTGCTCTTAGCAAGATCAACAATGAACTCCATGCTGGCCAACGATGGGTTTTA